TAATAATTATACTACTACCCTACCACTATATGTATACTAATAATATATATATATATATATATATATATATATATATATATATATATATATATATAAAATAGAGAGAGAGAGTTTATCTCCTACTCAATAATATGATTAGCGGTGATTTGAAGTAGCAGAGAATAAGACATAATTGTCTTTTCCAAGCGGAGGGAAAAAATCTTTCATACGCTCCTCCCTTCCTTTCCATATAAACTCTCAAATACCCTTTTACATTGCCATTTTGTCATTCTGACGGCATGCTGTGGATTCTTTAAACGTGCAAAAGTACCTTTTGAAAGAGCCAAGGACCAAAATTGAGTTTTATTTTTTTATTTTTATTTTTTATTTTTAATTTTTATTTAAAATAATAATAAAATCGTAGCCGTTTTATTTTTTGCCTTTTTTTTTTCTTCCTCTTTTCATTTATTTTGTTTTTTTAGTTATCTTGTAATCTTCTCATTATCTTAATGAATTAGAAACTTCTATTAAAAAAAAAAAAAAGCGATATTAAGATACCATTCAGTTTATAGCCTCATTTTTATAATTAGAGTTGATTACAAATAATAAAGAAGATTTTGAATAAGCAATACTGATAAAAAAAAAAAATAGAGGTATTTGGTTATTTTTATTTAAAATAATTTAAAATATTTTATTTAGTTATATTTATACAAAATACACCTACACCATAAAATTCAGATAAATATCTTAGTTGAAAAAAAATAAAAAATACGAGAAAAGTTTTTGGCCGTAGAATATAGCCCCGTGAAATCGCAACCATTAGAAGGCTTGTGCACCATTCCACATCAACCCAGGTTGAATTGAGGAAAAGAATACAAGCAAGGAAAGGGTAAGTGGTGCTTTAAGAGATCATCAATTGAATTTGAAGGACCACCACCCACCTTTCCATATCCATCTATCTGTCATCCCCCGTCTCTCTTTCATCAGTGTTGGGAGAGGCAGCTCTTCTTTCATTTGCTTTATAATACATTTTTGCACACAACATTTTTCCATTCCCTTGCTCCTCCTCGTCTTCTCGTAAGCTAACTACGGGTTTTTGCAAAACTCGGCCGGTCAAACTGGAATCGAGCACTCGCCAATCTAGTTTTTTGGTCAGGTATTAAATAAAAATAAAAATAAATAAATAAATAAAATAATATATATATATATATAATCCGAAAAAACAATAGATTTGTTTGCAAAGTTTTTTTATCATTTTGAGAAAGATTGGAAAATGCCTTGGACATGAATATTTTTTCTATATTTTTCCATCTTTTTTATGAAATTTCAAAAATATCCCCCGCACAAATCGATTTTTCAAAATCCATTTTTTCATTGCTTTTCAAATTTATTTGTATTTAATTATGCTTTAAATATATTTTTCATATGTTTGTGGATTTGTTTGGTATTATATATATATATATATTAACACTTTTTAGACCAGCCATGATGTGCTCGGTTGAACCACCAGGTTTACCAGTTACTTAGACCCTACCCAAGACTGGTTTCCGAGGCCGATTCGATTCTTCGAACACTAGCTACTACAGTTACTCAAGCCCTTGGCCGGTTGGATTTTTCTGCTACTCCCGACCAGCATCTTTATCATCGAAATTGAAATGGACAAATTTATTCTTCAGAAATAAAAAAACAATGTACAATTAACTCGTGAAAAAAATGCATTGTCGTATGTATCACCCAAACTCTCTTATCCAACTATAAAATAAAATAAAAAAAACCCCCTCATCCCTCTTTGAATCTGGTGACAATTGGGTAAACCATCTGTACGGAGACAGCGATGGTTGGTTTGCAACATATAATAATAATAATAGTGCTAGTAACATAAAGAAATTTTCCAAGAGAGAAAAGTGAGACGTCTGTCTTTTAAAAAATTGTGTTTATGTCATATGCTCCCACGGGAGCAACAGTGTACACATACTGCCTTTAGTCTTTATTCAATCTCGAGACATCATTTTTTTCAAATGTATAGGGACACAATTAGGGAAATTTTTTTTATTGATTGTACAAGTTCGTTCTCAAAATTTCGGTTCTTAAGTCAATCCTAGAGGGTACTTGACCTGAGGGAGTAAATGGAAAGTATTACTCCCACAGGAGTACAACATCTTTTGGCTTGAAAATATTGAACGCAAAGAATGCCTTGTCGTCAGGCACACATTCTTTTTCCACGATCCATAGAGGAGAAGTCTTTACTATTATTAATTGCACCTCAAAGAAAACAATAATCTTCAAAATTTGACCATCTCCTCGCGAGAAAAACGAATGAAATTTTCCACGATCCATAGAGGAGAAGTCTTTACTATTATTAATTGCACTTCAAATAAAACAATAATCCTCAAAATTTGACCATCTCCTCGCGAGAAAAAGGAATGAAAGGCGACGAGGGCATTTTTTTTCTTTTCTTTCACCTCTGAGATGCGTGCTCGCTCGCTCACACAACAAGCCACAAAGAAAATCTTGGAAAATTGCATAGCAAGTGATTGAATGCAAAAGTTTCAATAGGGTTTGGATTCGATGATTCCCAATCAAGAAAAACATTAGCGAAATAAAAACTGAAAGATGAAGATGAAGACACCAAAAAAAAAAAAAAATAAGTGGTGGGTGTGAAGGGGAATAACACTGCATTCTTATATATACCATCTACCATGGATATATTTTACAGAATCCATCATACACATCCGTTCCAGGAAATTGAAATGAAGGGCTAGATTTTACATCGAAGAAGAAGAGGAACGAATGCATATCCTCTCTCCTACTCTTATTAGGATGGCAACCCAACTGTATTTGGGTGTCTGCATCGGTAGAGTTGTTTGGGTGGAAAATGGAGGAGAGAGGACAACTCTTCTTATCCTCGTGAAAACACATCTACCTCCCCCATTCATCTTTAAGGAAGGAAGGGGAGGAGGAAGAAAACCTAAAAGGGGGAAAAAATAGATAAGAAAGTTGGAGTTTTTTAAGTTGCATACACCCACCTACCCACCCACCCACCTCTGATAGATGATGATTCTTTTAAATTTTCAGTGGTTTCAAATCAATCCAATTGAATTTTTTTACCAGCACCTTTCTCAGTCGCGGAAGAGGCAAGAATCAGCCATGTCTAGGAAGGGTTGGAGGCAGTCGGGGGAGAACTTGCGGGCGAAAAAGTAGGGGAAGCCATGGCGATGGTCCTTTGTGGTGGAATTCGGGGGAGGGGATCGGATGGTGCGGATGAGTCCAGGGCTGAGCTCGTGTGGGCGATAGGTATAGGGATGGCCATTGGTGCTGCCGGTCCAGTTGACGTGGGTGAGGGTGAAGGGGAAGCATCCCTCAAGGTCACGCATCCAGAGTAGGGTGGGGAAGTAGTGCTCTTCCGGGTAGCAGGAATTGCGGTTGAAGCAGGGCAGGCGGAACTTGCGCCACAGGCGGCGGTCCTGGATGACGAGGAGGGCATGGCGGCGTGACAGCACAAAGAATTGGGACCCCACCCGGAACTCGGAGAATGGCACCTCCGGAAGCATCACTCCCTGGCCCCTGGCGATGTACCGGGACCAGAGGCTGGGCTCGCCGTCGAGGATCTCTATGAAGCTGCGCTGCTCATGCTCATGGTTGAAGAGGGCGTGGTATAGGGAATGGAATGGGCGGAGGGGGATGCAGTGCTGAGAGAGGAGGGCAAAGAAGGCATTGAGGGGGTCGTCGAGGAGGGCAGTTGCAAGGAGGCGGCGCTCGGCGGAGATGAGGGTTGGGGAGGAGCGCTGGGTGCGCTTGGCCGTGGGGATGAGCCTACCGGAGAAGACGGTGCCGTCATAAGAAGGCGGGTTGAAGGGGGCGGAGGGGTCGGCGTGTATGTATATGTTGAAAAGCTCCCGTCCTTGTCCTTGGAAGAAGCGGTCCCAGAGGGGGGCAAAATGGAGGTCTGAATTGGTGAGGAACATAAATGCAATCTTCCTCTTCCTCCTCTTGTGCAGATGGTGCAGGGTACTGGAATTAGAGCGGGCGGAGACGGAAATGGCTCGACGGAAAAGGGCGAGGTCGTCGAGCTCATCAGGAAGGGTGATGAGGAGGTTGTTGCGGTGGGGTTGAAGGACGCGTGGCCCCACCAAGAGAAGAAGAGGGAGAGATAAGATTAGGGCAAAGGAAAGCACGCTAGGGCTCGATAGCATCATCACCATCACAGCCGGGCTTAGAGACCTATGGCTATGGCGGCTGCTCTGCTCTGCTCTGCTCTGCTCTGCTATGCTATGCTACAGGAGGAGAGACAAAGGGTGCCCTTTACTCATCATCGTCCTCCTTCCCTTCCCTTCCCTTCCCTTCCCTCTAATAATGAAAGTGAAAGTGAGAGGGAGAGGAGAAAAAAACAAAAAAAAAAAAGGTAAGTGGCAGCGGCTGAGGAGGAAACTGAAGATGCGTCTCACTCTGCAACAATTAACAACAACTCTACCACCCACAAACACACACACGCATAAACCATGGAACGAGGATTAAATTTGATGATCCCTTTCTCTCCTTTTCTTTTTTCCTTCCTTTCTTTGTGGTTGTGGTATATATAAGTTACAAGTACGAAGACGTCTCTTTAATCCGAGTGAGAACTCTCATACCAAGTCATCTCCCCCAACAACGTCCGACCCACAGTTCTCCATTCAAGGACTACGTCCCTTCCCTCGTAAATAAAGATATTAACATTTTATTTTTTCTGATCAATTACCGTTAATTGACTATTACAGCATCGATCGTAAAGATCTCACTTTTTCTTCTTTTTTTACAATATTCCAAACTTTTATGTCCAAATCAGCAAAATTACAAATATCAGATCATAACAACTCGATGCAACTTCCCCCCACATACATATTATTCAATGCTCCACCCCATCTTTCAGCTGCGTATTAAGACCGTGTCACGTTTAACTCTCTCTCAACAAATCCGTAAGGGATGGCACGTGCGTCACATGCTTACTCGTTTGACTCACAATACCAACATAGCTTAGCATTTCACGCAAGTCAAGTCATGGGTTAATGAAAAACCTCTTCTCCCTTAATTGGTACATGCAGATAAACTGTGCAAACTGCCATTCGATCCATATTTTATTAATTTTAATTAGAAAAAGGACAGCAGAAAATTGCTTCAAATGACAGTAACGATGACCTTGATAATAGATAGAATTACAACAGTCCTACAAGTACCATGCACATCAATGCAAATGCACAAGTAATCGTGGAATTCAGCCACCATTTGCCAGCTTTTCCATGCCACTCCAATGGTTCAGCAATGAGCTCTCTGGGTTCAACAGTATAAATAATAGACAGAGATGGAATGAGAATGAGAGAGAAAGGAAAAGATATATACAACTACAACATCATCGGAACACACATCCCGCCTCAGCACCATTTTTCACATCTAAGACTCATAAAATCAATAAGATCAATCAGGCTTGTCTCTCCAAGTCAAACTCCTTGAGCAGCTGAGCTGAATTCAGAGGGTTTGAATCACGCCTTGCATCTGATCTTGTTTGATCCTTGCCAAGCTTCTGCACAGTAGGAGCTGACTTGGCGAGTGGAGTTTTGTTGGATGGGAATCGTGACACTTGAGCTCCGACACCTAAATGCACAAATGCCCGAGACAATAATTAACACATTAAGCCACAAATATACACGATCCACAACAGATATTGAGCAAATATCTCTCATCCTATTTTATTTTGGAAGCGAGTTACTTTTTCATTTATTCCAGTTTCTTTTCTTCCTTTTTTTTTTTTTTGAATATGTCATTTATTCCAGTTTCTAATAACTTACAAGTGCAACTAGCTAACATTACAAAGTGTAGCCAACAACAAATACAAACCTGAGTTACTAGCAGTAGCAGAAAGAGAGAGTCTTTTCTTGGCTAGGGCATTGTTGTGCGCCGGCCGTTCTTTTGGGTTGCTGGACGATCGAAGGGACATGGAATTGGCTTCTTGCACTGCTATGAGGTGGTCCTTGGGCTTGGCGGTCTTGGCTGCAGGGGTACTCGATGAGGATCCACTCCCATCTGATGGAGATGCCATTGTGCCCTTATTATTGTCGTTTTGGATCATAGAAGGAGCATAAAACTTCTTGACACTAGCAGCCAAGGGCAGTTTCATTTGATGCCTTGGGAGACCAACACCACCAATCTTTGCGTCGTCTGTGTCATCACGCAAGGTGACCCCATCCTTGAGCTTTATATCGAGAAACCTGTTTTCCCAGGGGCGAACGGCCATCCAGCGCTCCAACCAATTCCAGCCCCAGTTGGTTTTATCAGGCTCAAATCCCCCCACCGGAGCTTGAAGCTGCCTCGATCCTGCCTGCCACTGCATCAAAAAGAGAGATGCAAAACATCATATCCTGAAGAATACCATGGTCATAAGCTTAGTTATTAGAATAACACAAACCCATCATTACTGAAGGCAATGGTCTTGTGTACAGGGAAATACTGGTAGAAAATAAGCAAAAAATCCCCTGTACTGGACTTTGTCACAAAAGGACATCCTCGCCCATGATATGAGAACAAGCTCCTCTGGTGGCTCCAACCTCCTCTCGAAACCTTCCACCACCATATCCTAAAAGGATTTCCCAAGCTTTCTCAAACAAAGGAAGAAACCAATACACCTCGTGACACATGACAAACAGTCTTAAATCACCCTTCAAGAAGGTAGAGGCATGCCAAATTATCAAAAAAGGAAACAAAGTAAAAAGAAAAAAAATAAAAGGCAAAGGCATGACAAAAGACGAGTGTCGTTCACAAAATAAAGATGGGATCATTTCACCCCTTACTTAAAACAAAAAGAAAAGGGAAAAACATAGAGAGATTATTTCACCCCCTATTTCCACCTTGAAGTCCTACAATGTCAATGTGCTAACTGCCCCATCAACAAGCTGCCAGAATACCTCGGAAGTAATGAGTAAAAGACCACCAGATGAAACCACTGAGCCCTCTAGGTCCACCATAAAGCTCACAAATAATCATGAAAACTACCCAATCAGCAACCCAAAAAAAGCCTCTGAAACTATGATAAAACCAATGCAGTGAGGAGAATCATCTCGTCTCAAACATTTAAAACAAGTGAAGAAAATTATTCCCTGATTTTTGGACAAACCAAAGTATCTGAAGCCCTTGTATATAATCATAGAGTGAAGTAGCGAAAAGAACTCAAGTTAGAGAAAACCATTTTTAGCACAAATTTAATAGAAGTGAAAATCAACTCGACAATGCTTTGTTTGAATAAAGGCAACTGTATTAGATAGGTATATAAAGAGCTACATGTACGAAGTGCAGTGAACAATATATTGTGTACAGAAATTGGGACTATGTCTTCCCAAAACCAAAAGAGGCTGCCAGGTCTCGCAAAATGATAGACAGCCAGAAATGATGAAAAAATAGCAGGTAGCTTCACACTTCAAAGATGGTACCCAGTTCCGATGGTCACCAGCATGAGGATCTAGTGTTCCTATAGTGTCCCAATTTAGTACGCAGTCTGAGGGCGAGTAACTTTTCAAGCCTTTAAGCTGTTTGGCCCATTCAATAGCTATTATTTTGATGTTCTCCTTGACATTTAAAATGGTTCTCTCCTTGGCTTCAAAAGTCCTCTGGCCACATTCTTGCCATACATTCTGTAAGGCCCTCCAAATAACCAGCCCTGCCTTTGGTAGTGAAGGCAAAATAAACCCGGAAGTTGTTTAATGGCCACCATCTCTTTGCTATCTTTGCAAAGGATAAAATGGTTCAGCATGGTAAAGCCATGCCTTTGTAATTGGTCCAATTTTAGGATCTTTTTTTCGTTTTCTTTTTAAAATTAGCCATCCAAACAGCTTGGTAGGGGCTCGATGGGACCAGGGCCAAGTGGCCACCCTTGACTGAATTCAAAGGTTCGCATATCCAATGGCTTTAAGAAATGATTGGATGTCTCGGTCACATTAAGAAATTGAGGACTCTCAGAAATCAAGAAATCATATACCCTTTATATTCCAAACAAAGTCACATAAATTCATACTTGATAACAACTTTTGGTTGATAACACCCATGACTCAGCGAATGCATTTGCATCGGCCTCGATATCAGCACCCTGCCCTTGGAGGTTGATCCACATTTTTGACAAGATCTTCCATCTGCGCAGGGATTCTACACGTTGTATGGAGGCATACTTGGAGGAAAGCCAAGGCCAAGGCCGACACACTCGCTAAGGAGGGAGCCAACCATCACAACTCACAGGGGACTTTTATGGGCAGTTTTTGAGTTCTCAAGCCCTGGCTTGTATATCTTGTGTTTACATTTCCTTGGACATTTTTTGGGTTGTTCATATGATTATATAGATTTTTTGGGCCCGTAACGGTTTTTAGATTTGAGCACCCCACTTGTGGGTCGCCAAATTTTTTGTACACTTCTATACTTAATACAACAGTTAACATATTAAAAAAAAAATAGTTGATATACTTTATTACTTTCCAGTACACTCCTTGGACTAGATCCCTTCAGTTCATATGATATTAATATAAATATATAAATAAAACCTTACTAGATCCCTTCAGTTCATATGATATTAATATAAATATATAAATAAAACATTACTAGATCCCTTCAGTTCATATGATATTAATATAAACATATAAATAAAATCTTACTAGATTCCTTCAGTTCATATGATATTAATATAAATATATAAATAAAACCTTACTTGATGAGTTAAAGCATATGCCCTAGCTCTTTCACGTTTGACTGCAGCTTCCTGCCTCTTTATCAACTTGGCTTGAATTTCCTCCACAGAGCCAATGCTATCACACCAGCCTTCCTGCATTAGTAGTCATTTTCTTGTGAAAGGTTTTCTCTTACAAACCAAGATGGGGAAACAAAGTACTTCATAATGTTATTTTTCAACAGCCATCATTGCATAATACAAACTCAAATCAGGACTTAAAACCAAATAGCATTAGAAATTTTTAACCAAACGAAAAGAAGAAATACAACTAATAACTAAATCATCAAAAAATAAGCTTTCATTTTACAAGTAAATTTGAACAAAACCTAGGACTCAATACATTTCATTTGTCTGAAAACAAAATTACAATTTGATGGTGCATTGGAAAATTCACCTCGATTTCTCGAACATAAGCCTCTTGGACAAGTTGTTGTTGCAGTTTTTGTTGTACAAACTGACTCTCTAGTGCCATACGAACTCGCCTGGCTCTGACTCGTGCTTGAACTCTTACCAGTGCCTGCATACAGCGCAAAGTTATTGCAGCTTGCTTTCTCACTGCATGGCCCCTGACAAGGGCCTGAAGTCGCACTAGTCCTTTCAATGCTCGGAGTGCTCTTCTCGCCTGTCATATACCAACCTTATAAACTTAGTCATGGTAACAGCACTGCAATTTTTTTGGCAAGCAAATAAATCGGAACTTATCGATATTTAAAAAGAAAAGGAACTATCCACTCATATTTATGCGCATATGTAATCGTACAATTATCTGTGAATGTTTGCATGCAGGTACTCATAGTTATAAATAAGTATACATGTGGAAGTCCATGAAGAACATGGATTACAAAAGTAAAAATTAAAAAATAGGACATGAATGCATAAGTATAGGTCTGTATGCATGTTAGCATCCCTGGTACATATGGGTAGGAAGTCAATATTCATCTCAGCAGTCAACTTCAGATAATTTTGATTACAACTGTACCAGTGTAAGGGGATTGGTTTCAATAAGGACCTCTGAACCCTATGCCAGTGGTTAATGTTTTTCAAGACTGAGCATCATTACATTTTATTTCTTTTAATGCAATAAGACCAAGATCACCAAACATCAGCAATTCTGTTACAATAGCATGACAATTTTTGAGACAAAATCTATAGAACATATGAATTCATTGACTATAGATTATATGAGCACTGCTTAATGGAAATTCTGGAGAAAATATGAGTTTGAAAGTACCTAAAAATAGACTTAAATAACAATTATAATGATACAACTCACAAGTGGGTAATGCATTTGACATCTAAATAGTGAAGAGATATAACCATATACCAAAAATGCTCGAAAAGCAGTTTGAATGTATGTAGCAGCCCATTCTTCTCTCACATTTTGTTCTAATTGATTAGCAGTCTGTATATCATGAGCACCATTTGAAGAACTGGCTGTAATTGGGCTGGATAGGATGATGCAGTCTTCGGCATCATCGCAACCTTCCGTCCCGGAGGTTGTGTTACCATTTGCAACATTCTTTTTCCGGTGCCACAGATTTGAATTACTAGCATCCTCAGTTCTCTGCAACATTGCAAAACCCCCAAAATAGCTCAACAGTTCAATCTAGAAAAGGAAAACAATAATATAGAAGCATGTACTGTCTAGACAAAAAAGTTCCAAGAATATAATATAGCTCAAATAAAGAAGAACTCATTAATTGTGTGCATTTCTACAAGAAGGATAAAATTCAGCAACCATATAAAGCTTGTAAAGGTAATGCTCCTAGTCTTTTTTAAGAAATGTTAAATAAAAGGAAAATTATGCAAATGCAATATATAGATGAGTAATGATCCTAGGAGACCCTCCCACACCCATGTATGTAGGACCCCAAAAGATTACCATTGAATTTGACGCAGATATCTAGAAAAGTTATCACATGGGTCTGGGACTTGACTTTTCTAGAGATCTGTGCCAAATTCAATGGTGATCTTTTGGGGTCCTACATACATGGGTGTGGGAGGGTCTCATAGGATCATTACTCTATATATATATATATATATGGAAACTTCTTAACGCGGATACTTATTACCAATATGATCCATACATTCTTTGCTTCTGCAAACTTGCACTCCAAAACTAGAAGCCCTCTTCAAGATAGTCTATTGTAGTTTGTTGTGTTCCCAAATAGAAAACCATTGATAGGTTCAAACTGAAATTTTTTTCTTGTGAAGCTGAAAGCAAGATTAATCGACTAAAAGGAAATGTTTGCAAACCTCCATAGCAATTTCTGCCTTTTCTTTCCCCCAATCAAAGTGCTTTCATCAAAGACCAACAAATTCTAGATGGAGCCCTCGTGGCTCATGAATGTATCCACTCCAGACACTTCAACAAAGATCTTGGTATTATCATAAAGCTCGATTGGGAGAGAGCTTACGATCATGTTGACTGGGAAATTCTAGAAGAAACTCAAACCAGGATGGGTTTTGGATTGAGGTGGAGAACTTGGATGAGAACTTGTTACTCTCACCCTCACTACTCTATCCTCATCAATGGCACTCCCAAAGGCTACTTCCCTTCTACCAGGGGCCTCAAACAAGGGGATTCCCTATCCCCATCCCTTTTTGCCATCTCGGCAGAGGTTTTCAGCTAGTCCATCGCTAGAATGTACTCAACTGAACTTTTGCCCGGTTTTACTATAGGACTAGGGGCTCCCCCTATCTCTCACCTTCAACAAGCAGACGACACCCTGGTCTTCTGTAACGCATCCTCTGTCGAATTACACAATCTCTTCCTCTTCCTCAGGTGCTTCGAATTTGCAACTGGCTTCAACGTCGACAAAGCCACAATGATGGGAATTTAATGTTGATTCTGCTCGAATTTGCAACTGGTTTCAACGTCGACAAAGCCACAATGATGGGGATTTAATGTTGATTCTGCCACCCTCAGATACTTTGCTGAAAGATGGGGTTGCGGAGCCGAAGAAATACCCTCAAAATATCTAGGACTTCCACTTTGCCTTGGCAAACCCAATAAAAGGATGTGGTCCCACAGTGTCGACAAAGTGGACCACAAATTAGCCGGTTGGAAAGGACGTTTCTGTCCCTTGGAGGCAGGCTCACTCTCATCAAAGCAACCCTTACTAACATACCGGTCTACCAAATGTCCATTTTCCATATGCCAGTTGTTGTTAGCACTAGGATTGAAGAATTGATGAGGAGGTTCTTTTGGTCAGGAGAGGACTCTAACAATAAATTCCATCTAATAGCCTGGGACAAACTCTGCCAATCTAAGAAAAGGGGAGGTCTAGGGATCAAAAAACTGAGAACTCAAAACTTAGCCCTCCTTGGCAAATGGTGTTGGAGCCTGGTGACCACCTATGGATTGATATTCTCAAAACCAAATATCGCCTCCATGACTCTCCTTGGCTCTCTGAACTCAAAACTAACCACAGGTCCTCCAGCATTTGGAGGTCAATCTGCTCTGCTTTTCAGCTCTTTAAAATTTGAATTAGATTTCATTCGACATCGGGGAACCGAATCCTTTTCTGGTATGATCTGTGGCTAGGCCACACCCCCCCTCAGGGACAAACACCCTGATCTCTTCCGTCTTGCTCGAGAACAAAGGGCTATAGTAGCCCAATAAATGCTACTGGCTGGGACCTCTCGCTCTTGGAATCCAGTCTTCAAGAGAGCTCTCAATGACCTCGAAATCTCAAGTTTCGCCTCTCTCTCGGCTGAACTGCAAGCTTGTTTCTAAGCTCCAGTAGGCCCCGACCGAATCATCTGGACTCCACCAGCTGGTTCTTTCACAATGTCGTCTTTCTTTCGTAGCTTGTCGCAACCCCCTACTGTCCCTTTAGCCCCTACAGCTGTTGCAGCCCAGGCTTGGGACTCCTTAACTCCCCCCAAAATAAAGATTTTTATGTGGTTGGCTCTCTCCAAAAGAGTTCTTACGGTTGATCAACTGCAAAGACAAGGAATCCCGCTCCCAATCGTTGTGTCTTGTGTCTAGATGAGGAGGAATTCAATAACCACCTCTTCCGACGCTGTCCCTATGCCTTCAAGCTTTGGAGAGCAGTCCTCAAACTGTTCAAGGTACAGTGGGTATTGCCCACAGAGGGGACTTCTATTCTCTCCTCTACCCAGCCTATTCCCTGGCCCAAAGCAAGGATTCTTCTCTGGAAGTAAGTGGTGGCTGCATCTCTGTGGGCATTATGGATTGAGTGCAACCATAGAATATTCAGGGGGGAGTATTCTCCTTGGGCCAAAATCTTCACCAAGGTCAAATCCACCAATATCTTTTGGGCTGCCAATTACCCTGGCTTCAAAGGAATTTCGGCCCCGGCCTTCCATCAAGATTGGAGTAATGTCCTTCAATATGACTGCTCTCGCCCTTCCAGGAGGCATGCTTAAGCTCAATTTCAACGAATGCTCCCTCGGCAATCCAGGGCCGTCAGGAATTGGAGCCATCCTTAGAGACCACCTCTACCGTAACTTAGGCTTCCAAACACATTGGTCACATAGATTCGATGGAGGCCGACGTGCTAGCCCTTCTAGAAGGCTTAAAGCTCTTCCAACATCTCAACTTGCATTCCATCATCGTAGAGGGAGATTCCAGGAACACCATAACCAGAGCTTAGAATCTTGCTTCTTCCCCACTCCCCCCCCCCCCAGGTTCTTGGCACAAACATTTGATTAGATTCATTACCTCCACAGGAATACGTTCATTGTATGGACGCATACTTGGAGGGAAGGAAACCAAGAAGCTGACACCCTTGCAAAAGAAGCGGCGGACATGGCTGGAAACTAGAATATCCTTCCTTTTTTGATTTTTTTTCCTTTTACTTTTCTGTTTTTGTATGGTGGTTCGGCTTCTTTTCTTTGGTTGCTGTCCCTCTTTACAACAACTTCTTTAAAGAGGTCACGATCCCACTTTTCTCTCCTTTGTCAGGTCCTTGAGCACCTTTTTTGTGGTACGCCAAGGCTTTTGTACTCCTCTTTCTTTTAAATTTAAGGTTAACATTATCAAAAAAAATATCTGCCTTTTCTTTGTCAAACTACAAGTTCCTAGCTTCCATTTTCTCCATCACCCTGGCTCCCCCAGATGCCATGCCACAAATATTTTCTCCACCACCTACCATACCATATCTCACACACCTACTGTAGGGATGTATGCTGTAGGCACCATGCTCTCCCACCAAACTAAGCTGCTCCAATTATTTTCTGTCATAGCCACAAAGCCAAAAAGAGGTCTATTTGCTAATCTCGTTTCCACATTTCGTTCAAGCCAGGGCACCTTCCTTTGCCCAACCCAAGTTGGTGAAGTTGCATAGAGTATATTAGTTTTCTCAAGCTACTACGCTTTTTTAACATTGCATAAGTTCAAATCACCTGTTCATGAACAATAATACATTATAGATCTAGACCAGACCAACCGAACAGGGTATGTTGTTTCTAGCAATGCTTAAAAACTCAAATAAGACTCAGGACTTCCCTCAGTCACTTGGCTCAGCCACCAAGTGTTTTAACAAAAACATTTGGCCATGGCAAGATCCTGGTTTTCTCCTGCCAGGATCCGAGCATATTTCGAAGTTCTTGCTGAGTCTTTATAATACCCAGCCAACACTGGATGACTTTCTAATATTTTTTCTAGAATTAGCAATATTCAGAGGCTGATCAATTTGACTTTTCCCAGGGTAAAGATGAGCTCAACCTATTAACCTTTGGTTATAGTAAGGACTCGATGCAAAAACGAGCTAAGGAAAACATTAGCAATAACTAAAAAGGAAGAAAAGATTCATCGAAAGCAGTTCTTCTATTTCATATGACCTTCAGATGTAGCATAATATATTTTCACATTATATTCCCCTAAGCTTGATTCAATTGCCCACAAGTCAACCATTCACAAATTGAAAACCATTTATATATCACATGGCAGTTATGAGCAAATATAGAATTACATGTAACCAACACATAATTGCTAATCGTAGAACATGATATTAAACACGTCATCACACACATATAATTTTATATTTGTATACCTATAAAGTACCCACATGTATATGCTATATAGAACTTGAAAGTAAACAAACTATCACATTTTTTCACAATAGCAAACAAGTCATGTCATACTGTATCAAAAGCGGCAACTGTAGATAAATTATAAAGGAAACCCGCATATAAGGATAAGAAAAATTAACTCGGGAAAGAAAGACTACAAAGAAGAGTTTACCCACATTATTGTTCTTTTCGGACGATTGTGACTTGTCTGACTTCCTAAGACCAACCAATGTCCTGAACCACCTCCCAGCAATACCCATGATGCCAATCACTTCAACGACAAATTAAAACCTATCATGGAAGAAATATAAAGTATTAGGTGAGTTATCACAATACAATCTCTTCAGTATCTGATGAATAAGGTGAGTAGATATAAAGCAAAAAGACCATGACAGCAAGGCCTTTCTTGACCACATCAGTAAAGAAACAAATAACCAATGAATGAGTGAGTCGCCATACATTATGAAACTATAGTTCTCATACCACATTAAAAGATAAACATGTGAGAAGTCCCCATGAAAATATAACTTGTGCCATACGGTCTGCAATACAGTGCAATATATTCTAAAGATAAGGAGTAAAAGCTCTCTTTCCCTCTCTTTGTGAGAATTAAGAGCCATCCTCCATTCTCAAACATTTTAATAATATAAATTGTCTACAATGAGACCATTTATCTTTTGTACATGGAGGTCATAATCATTCTTGTCCCTTAAAATTCAAAATGGGTAGTTGTAAGAGTGTCATTGAATAGACATAAAATTTTCAAAATGTGTGGTTGTAAGAGTGTCATTGAATAGACACAAAGTTCTAAAAAAATTCGGACTTCATAACTCACCCCAAGCCATCCAATGTGACATCTTATGAGTTGGAATGATTGTGACCTCCATGTACAAAAGATAAATGATCTCTTTGTAGACAATCCCTTAATAATACTCATCAAACCAACATTTTCTAAATGTACTTGGTTTTACTCAGAAGAATCCATGCCAACTTTGACATTCAAGACAATCAGAATCTGTATAAAATGAAATTTAAGTCACAGGAAAATGAAATTTAAGTCACTAAAAAATGATTATCCAAGAATGCCAAAATCGATAACCTACATAAAAATTTAAATTTTAAATGGGATAAACAACTCAAAATCAACCTCCATACAAGACAGTCCAATAATCTCCAGAACCATCCATAGATGAACACATAGCCAGCAGATTTCTTCATCAAAAGCATCAAAGAAACCTTCATTATATTCCCAGAGTAGATTCTATCCAGGAAAATAGAGAAGTGGATACTACAAGGACATAAGTCATCAAGTCTCTACGATTTCTTACTTATCATCTCATGTAACAATTGTAAGTCGGCTATGATAATTCTTCTTGTACTTATCATCAAAAGAAAACTTCCTTTTCTTGAGTAAGTTTAACATCAAAAGAAAACTTAAAGACTTAACAGTGACCCCAAGCTTTCTTGTGGGGAAACAATTTGAGGATTAAGTGTTCCCTCCTGTCCCTTCCCCTTCTCCCCACTGTCCACTCACCCCCATTGTTTCCTGGTTATGCCCCCCTTCTCTACACCTCTTCTCTCCATCCCGCCTTCCTCAAACTCTCTATTGACACAAGTTCCAATAATTCGAGAAAATGACAGCTGCATATCATGCCAACCTGTTCTCATTTGCTCCTCCCCCCAAACTGCTGGATCCCACCGTAAAACCTTGGAGTTACTTGAGAGCTTCTCTCAAATTGTAGATGGAAGCCTTAAGCTTCCCAAGCAAAGAATACCCCAAAGCCATAACCCAAAAACAGAAGCTCGTGATTCATCGTCCAAGTAAGAACTACAGGCCAGTTTGGAAGAATGGGAAGGCAGTTCTTAGCAGCAGTTTCTAAGAAAGATGCCACAATGGTTTTATTGGACACAAATAATCAAAGCCAAATGGAAGGTAAAGGGGCATGACGGCATCATCTCCAAATCCAGAATGTCCTATTCAGATTGGACAAGGTGACAGAAATGACGAAGGTCATGAGAGCCTTAGTTCACTGGAGGAAGATACGTGGAGCTGAGAAGCATTAACCCAAAGGCAGCTTTCACATCTTACTCCTTCCCAGTATGGGTAGATTCACTAAATTTTCCAAACTACCTCTGTACCACTCCGGATACTCTTGGAGATATTGAAGCATCAATCAGATTATCGGACCTCCAGTGTCTATGGATGGTGTAAAGAAACATAACAAATAAATAGATTATGCCCGATTTTACGTAGACATCCAACCAGAATCCAAACTCCAATGGAGATATTGATCAAACCAGGTGAAGAGGAGCTTTTCAGCCAAAAGATCAAAGGGTGTGGAAGAATTTCCATTTGCATTGCATGTCTCCTGAACATAATTCTCCCACGTGTCGAAAGCAAACCCAGCCCTTGATTGAGTTGAACAAACCCAATCCATTCCATCAAGAATGGAGGGCTGTAGATAGAAAAGGCAAGCTCATGGAAGGTCAGAGGCAACGGCCCCTAGCTCCTGCCAATCATCCTCTGGGTAAAGCTCAAGGGGCCAAATACTAGTAGCAGTAGTACATATGGCAGAGCCTGAAACAAGAAAAATCAAACAGGAAAACAGAAAGGGAGGAACGAAAAGAACTCGATGCAACACCTTGCTCCTAAATCATCGTCCCCCACTTCAGGCTCCGGATTCAAGCCCAAGGAGAGGCAACTGATACTGCACACAGAGAGTGTAAAAAAGAAGTGAGGAGTTGGAGAGGGGAGTTCAAAAGTGGAAGGCTAAATTTCCTGGAGATCTTTCAGGGCAAAAAACTAGTTAAATATTGGTAATCTTTTTTAAAGGAAAGAGTCTCAAGATCCTGGTGAACATTTTGAAGAAAAGTGACATTCTCGTAGGAAAATGCGGAAAATAAAGGAAAGCGTTGACTGGGAGAAAGAGACAGATTCCAGGGGTTTTCTGGTCCCCCGAAACTTCTCCAGCTACCTTGGAAAAACCAAACCAACATCCATCCAAAATTCTTGGCTCCTGAGATCCTAATCTTGTTATGCCATCGGCCAATTCAAACAAGAGAAGTGCAGCAGTACATCCAAATCCCTCATTGGTTGTCCCAAATTTGGACGTCAATTCAAAGCGGGCTCCTAAACTCAACAGCAGAGATTACCACCCTCACCCCAACCATTCCATAAAGTCGAGATTGAAGCACAGGAACAATATGGAAGCACAACAATAGCACAAATCAGTGTTTAAAAACCCAGCTTGGGGAGGTGAACAGGTCACTTGTCAGGTCCGAGTCAGATTGGCTGACTCAGCAAGCTGCTCGGCCAACTCGCGCAACCAAAAAGAGAACAGAAACAGAGGAAAAAGGCAAAAAAAAAGAAGAAAAAATACACAACATCTAGACCCTTCCTAACAGAAAACTATCTAAAACCTTTCTAATTCAACCTAGAACCACAAAAAAAAAGAAGATTCAACGTAATATTAAAAATAATTTCAGATTTCTCTTAAAAAATCCAGATAATTTTTCAGGAAAACGGAGAACTACGCCAAAAAAATTAAACTAAACATAAATAATTTTTCTTGAAAAAATTAATATACCTGGTTCTAAATTAAAATCCTCAAATAAATTTGTGGCTTGAAACTCCAAAAATTTTTGGATTGCAAATCTGCACTTAAAAGACCAAAAAAACCAAAACTTTCAAGAGTGTAAATTTCTTTGATTTGATCCCAAACATTTCTATTAGGCTTTGTTACAAAAAGTTTGTAACAGATTTGAAATTGTTTCATTGATATTTGAAGAAGAAAATCAAAGAAGGGCAGATCAGTTTCTCAGGGTCCGAAAAACACGAGGTTCAAAAACTTTGCCAAAATCAAAATTTTACGAATTGGCCCTTACTTTGGATCCAAAATGGAGCAATTCATGCTGAAATCAATTGATAAGGTGACCTTTTATAGAGAGGATAAAAATTTGATGCAAAAAAAAAAAAACTCAAAAACTGTTTTTCCCTAATGTTTCATGTGAAAGGGGTACCAAGCCAACTCGCCCAAGTCCGAGGAGAACTGGGCCAGTAACCCTCCATGTTAGAGCTAACTCATGTGATACCATATTGGCTCACCAATTTTTTAAACACCAGTACAAATTAATACATATCGCACCAAAGAAGACAAAGAACAATGCACTACTCCAAGTGTAGCATATGAACAGTATGCAAACGGTGAAACTCAATCCATATGCTACCAAATTGCACAAATCGATGCACCAGAATAGAACAAAAACACAAAATATACAAAGTCATGCAGGTAGCAACATCAATGACTGTATATGGTGTGCTACACATATGTAGCCAAAGAAAAAAGAAGAGATCTACACGCAAGAAACATACACTCAACACGCTCTTCCAACACACAATGAGACAGAAAAAAATGAAAATAAATAAATATGGCATACTCTCATGATATACTTCAAAGGGAATGGATGGCAAAATTAGCAGTGAAGCATGGATGGCAATTTTGGGCAGCAAAGAAATGGAATGTAAATTTGAAAGCACATCACGGCATCTTTTAAATTAGAGTATAGAGTTAAGCGTAGTGAAAGTATCTCTTATACTCACAATGGACGATAGAGTTATAGTCTTCAACCTAATGTATCTTTGAGATTAAAGCAACAGGTGGGGTTGCCCTAAAACCCCCTGCTAGCTTAGCTTATAGTACTTTAGAGGACTACCAAGTGATTTATTTCTTTGCATTTACCATCCATTTAAACAACACTCAAACCAAGCCTCAAGCCACCATCTTGCTTTGCATTTATATTGCAAGTCAAGGTGCACAGGAATTTTGGATGTTTTGCTCTCAAACCCTTTTAGGCTCATTCTATACCAATTTCAAGTGAAAACAAGCATCTAACAAAGCTGTTTTTACTACTTGTAAATATCTACCAAAACAAGCTTGAGATCATACAGATTTTTTACCAACTCTAAGGGGGAATATTGAAAGAAAAAAAAAACTTTTTAAACAAGCTACACAATGCTTGATCTATATTTGACCATGTGAAAGTTTGGGAAAATAGTGCAGTCAATTTTCATTTCTCAAAGGTGAAAAATTTCATCAGTCAGACTAAATGATGAGTAACTCCACTCAATAAATATATCTGAGCCAAATTGCTACCAGAAGTAGAAGAGGTGTATCAATTTTTAAGTTAAAGAAAGATATTAAACCATATTTGCGAAAAAATTCATAAGAATTAGTTATTTCTTCACCTGAAGCTGCAATACTTCTTTGTGTAACAAGAGCTTGGTTGTAAGGAAATTGTGCAGTTGTCTCAAAGAGCTTGGTTGAATTAGTAACACCATAGACACCTTGTTTGAAAATTCGGCTGCCCGGCTGCCAGGCCGCCTAGGCAAGCGTGCTGGCGTATTAGCTCCTAGATGGCACCTTGGAGCAACTTGGCCCAGGGCGGGAAAAGGTCCTCAGCCAAGGAACAACAAAGAAATTTCTCCCCCTGAAAAGGGGGAAAAGCGTTTTAGGGGGGAAATGTTGCCCCCCAAACCCCTATGGGCCTAGCGCCACCCCAAAAAAAAATCATAAACCTCCTTAAAAGAATAAAAAAATAATAGAAGTAGTGAGAAAATATATGGTGGCTTCTGGTTATAGCCCTTGATAGAGAAAATGGAGGAACATAATTTCATGTAGTCGACCCCAAATTAATGTTCGAAACCACAATCGGGCCGAGTACTTAGCCCGAGTAGGGCCGAGTACTGTAGCAACAAAACAATATTTAAAAAATATAAAACTATCAAAAATTAAAAAAAAAAGAAAATATGTTGAAGTAAAATTAAACAAAACACATCTAAATAAGGTAAAAAAAAATAGCAAAAAAATAGATTTTGAAAAGTCAGTTTTTTGACTGGGGGTATTTTTGAAAATTTCTAAAAAAGATAGGAAAATGTAAAAATTAGTATATACTTTCCAATCTTTGCCAAAATGATAAAAAAATATTAAAAAAAAATTACAAATAGATTTCTTATTTTTTTGGGATTTTTCATAATTTGTTTGAATATTTTTAATATCCCTGAATTGGGCCCTCAACTCGGGCTCCACCACAGCCCGAGCCCGAGTAACTCAGCCAAATCTAATTTGACTTGGCCAATTTTTTATACACTGCCCCAAATCATTGGGATAAGGCTTAGATGATGATGAGGTATCATACAACAAAAAAAAAAAGCATCACGAACATTCCAATCTGAGCCAAGAAAAGAATTTGATTGCTGTAGACAAATTAACAATGCAGAGATGACATTTTACAAAATTCATCTGTGAAAACCTTCAGCAATAGAGATAAGATAAAATACTAAAAGTATCACTATTAAGTGATAGGACGACAACAAATTCTTATATCTCCCAAAAAAATTTTAATAATCAACTTTTATCCATTAAAAGAAAAGGTCATACAGTAGGGGCCATTTTGCTATGTAGATTACATGCCCTGCAAAGCCACTTTATCCAGGATAGAGGCAAAAAATGGCTTTTTTAAGAGGATCAACACAGACAAGTGCACACAAAATTGCTGGAACATTGTTCCTGTAAGAGTAGCATCAAACACCCCATAAGGGCTTGCACGTATGTGGCTGACTTGCCAACGACTTATATGAGAATTCAAACAGGGTCTAAGTTGTAGCACATAATTGTGAAAGAAAAAAAAAAAGGTTAATGCACATGTACAAAGTGCAAACCAGGTGTTAAGAAACAAGCAAATGTGCCAAATGAAAATCAAGTGTAAGTCATTGAGGAGAAAAGTGTAAGTCAGATGATAAAGAAGTAACACTGGCCAACAAAAGCTTTATGAATGACCTGATCAACTTAAGATGCAAGTAATAAGGATCAGACAGTGAGTGGAACCAGAGTTAGGGAAGCACCGAATGATACAAGAGCATAAAGAGGGGGAAAAGTTAGATTTTTGTACATAGTAATTTGGGCAACATCACAAGCTCAGAGCAAAACAAAATTTAATCAAGCAATGCAAGAAAGATGACGAGTAATTCTTCGTTGGACTTAATGTATATGCTCAAGGGACTCAATACAAAAATGAGAAGGGACTTCATGATACTTATCGACATTGCACAAACCTTAAATTCAAGGCATGTTTCTCAATCAATACAACACCAGGCATACTTAAACGAAAAACCAAAAAGCAAGTTACCGAGTCCATGTCCACCTTGTGCACTGGAGATAACCCATACCCTCAATTTTGATCATTTTTTTTCTAAAAGAAAGAAAAAGATGTGGTGAACAGTCGCCGATCACCATACAAGACCTGTGTACTTTCACCAAATAAAACCTCAAATCCAGAACGAGCATTGCCTCCAATTCATTGACATAATCAATGCTAGAACACGCTGTAGATGTCCATGATCATCAATTCATCATCATCTATCATCCCAAAATGATGGGTAGTCAAAATCTATAACACCGAGAACACAATCATGTGAATTTTCCCAAGAGCAACTCCTCAATTTCAAAAGGTGAGACAAAATAATGCCCTAGCCCCTGGCAATGCAGAAAAGGGATAAAAGGGATCCTCCAAAAGACTAACACTTTTTCCATTTCTATTCCATGATTTGTCCACTGTCTACTATTTATTACTGCTAGTATTATGAACCATAATTGTATATATTCACATTCTCAACCCACTGATCGACGTGGGAACTACCATAAACGACATTAGCCATCCATTTTCTTGAATTGAAGCCATGAATTATTCAGTATGCATGGATCTGGAACCAAAAAAAAAAAAAAGTAGAAAGAGAGGGAGGGTGCGCTGACCTGGAATGATATGAAGATGAAAGTCCATTACGACCCTAACAAGAGTTGCTGTTGCTACTTAGAAAGAGGGGCGTGCTCTGCAGAATGGAGTTGAGATATACAAAGCGGGGGAAAAGAAGAGAGAGAGAGAGAGAGAGATAGATCAACATCGAACAAAACAACTCTTCCCTAAAATGCGTTCAGGAGGGGCACACCGTTCAATCACAACACTATTCTCTCTCTCTCTAAACTGTATATGTAATCTAGAATGTTTTTGTCCCCTCCTTTCTCTCTCTCTTTTATCTTTCTGGAGGACCGATTGATTTGAGATCCGCGCTTTGACGATGGAATGGAAGGGCTACCCACTCCCGTTTAGTTTTCCTCTTTCTATGGAGAATCACCTGTCGGGAAGAAATTAAAAAAATTAAAAAAAAAAAAAGTGGGAGAAAATTTTTGTCAGCTAGTACAGTAGGCCACTTTCTGGGCTGAGATCTTAAAATAAATGACTGCCGAATGCGTCGCTCATTGCATTCGATTCAATTGAGGCCGGCAACCCATTCCATGCCATCGGGGCGGCACGCGACCCGGAACCGAGTCACGCGACCCGAGACTGGACGTACGGAGCAGACCTGAGTACCGGTACGGTTTAAGAATTAGACTCTGGTGTATTTGGTCCTGGTCCCAATATTGGACCCGAACATTATTCGCGTTCAAGTTCGGGGTACTCGACCGGAATAGTATTATTATCAGTGATTTAAATAACATACTGTTTAGGGTATTACTTTTTAATACTAAAAAAAGTAAAATAATATGTTTTAGGTCTATTTTAAACCAAACATTCATTAGAACCTATTTTAGAAAGAAAAACCTCAAAAAAAAATACTTTTCCGTGATTTCTATATGATTGAAGGGTTTATCAAGTTGAAAAATTGATCTAAGCATCACCCATTGATATTAAATTTAGTTTTGGATGTTTTATAAATTTATTAAAGGTTTTTTTAGAAGATTTTTAAGTACTTAGAAACATGTTAAAAGTGAAAATCTAAGTGACATTTTTCTTTCTACTCGGTCGTCCAGTTCTAAACGCCCGTCTAGGCGTTGGACGGTCTACGGGCCGCCTAACGCTTTTTAAAATATTGATTATTATATTAAATATTATTTAATATGCAATATTTTAATAAATTTAACTATGTATTTTTACTTATAATATTTAAATAATACATGTATATGTTTTATATAATATTTAAATATTTTTTATTTATTGTTGGGTTGGATCAATCCGGTCCGGCCCCATAAACCTAAACCTGACCCGACCCGTTGTCACCCCTAATCCAACTCCCTACGAGCCCTGCATACTATTCAGTGGTAGTACGCGGAAGCGCATTATATACTTGTTATTTTGGACAAAATATTGTTCAGGATAGTTTTTTCAAACTTAAGTTTTGAGTATTTATTTTACAAGCATCTATAAGGAAAAAGTTCATAAAAAGTGGCCACCTTGTAATGTAGAAATAAAGTGGATCTCAAAAATCCAATAAGAAAAAGAAAGTCTTCTTAAATTGAAAATCCTACTAATAGTTTGTCTCGACATCGAGATGTAAGCATCTTTTTTTAAAGTTTAAATCTTATAATTAAAGATAAACATATATTTTCAAGGCACCGTAAGGTTTCTGATGCGTAAAACATCTTTTGACCAAATTTAGAAGTGCCACTCACTTGTACGATATAATTACTAGATGATTATTTTTAGAATAAATATTTGATTTTTAGTTTCTAAGTATTTAGATATGACTGTTCACAAATTTCCATTACTTCAGCGGGATCTTTTTATTGGATGTTAATATCTTCGAACATTGTATGTAGAGAGCATATGGGATTTTGTTGTAGGGGTTGGGGGTAGATTGTTTGTTTCAGTTGCTAAGGTAAGGAGGTTAGATCCCAACTCCCAAGACTTGGGCTCTCCTATTATGGGTTTAGACTTTAGAGGAAGGAACAAGCGTATGTATATATTAAAAATAATATTTCCTATCGCGTTTATTATTAATTAATAAAATATTCAATTGCGAAAATAAATGTATTAAATTCTCTCTTTAAGATTATGTTTTATTGATTTTTTTCAAAGATAAATATATTTCAGTGATTAATATTAAATATCACTTGCAACATACATTCATATTACTAGTTACCTTATCCCGATCAATATAAATAGCTCAAGTCAAATGACAAAACTACCCTTTACTTGTTCAACATTCTAAACTTGGAATATGTGATTTTTTTTATATTAAAATTTATTGTTATGATAGGAACTAGCGGGGACACTTGGTCATTTAGGCTCACCTGTTTTACAAACCAAAACCTTAGTTATTCAGGATTCCGAACAACATTTTAGGCATTTTTCAACAAAATACTCGCAAAACTCAAAGAGGATACTCAGATTGAAGCGATATTATTACAAGCTATTTTATTCTTATTTGTGAGTTAGATGATACTAAACCCTGGGCCTTCTATATATCAGAAAAGACAAATTATTGAAAATCTACTGATTGCATGGCGCCAACAACAATTTAACTATCTCATTCAGGTTGCATGGTCTTTCTCTCGTTCTCATCATTTCAAGTTGAATATTACCGGAGCCTCTTTATAGAATCCAGGGCCCGCAAGAGGTTGCAGTGTAATAAGAGATGATGATGGCTTTTTGGTATTGCTTCCAACAACTATGTGGACTTTTATGCTCTTAAAGAGGACATTGATCTGGCCATTCAGTGCAATAGTTTCTCATTACATATTGAAAGTGATTCCTCCCTGTTAGTTAATGTCATTCAAGGCTGATGTAATCCTCCATGGACACTGCACACAGTTGTAGTAGTCAACTGCAGACATAGCCTTTCAAATTTTGTGTAGTCCATTTCCCAATCTATTGCGAGGTGGATACACTCACTAAAAAGGTTGTGGCCTTCTCTGGGGCTACGGTTTGGCACATTAGACTGCCATATTTTATTGCCCTTCATTCACTTCATGGCTTGGCACAAATGCCCTATTGCAGGGCTGTAAAATTATGATCTGTATTTATTAATGAAAAACAAGGTAGGGGCCCTCTCCCCCACTTATTTACCCAAATATATATATATATATATATATATTGACCTTGGTAAACGTTTGAGGCTATATGACCATTTTAGTGAAATTTTTTAGGAAAACTGGTACTTTCCTTTTGTTGCACTAAAAACTATATGACAAAGTTTATATAAGGCTGAGACACCTAAAAAAATCAGCAAAATAAGTTGTTTTAATGCTAAAAAACCCTAAAATCCGATCATCTTGACCTTAAGATACATGGATATAAAAAATAAGTAAAAAAGACTTAAGTCTTGAAAATAGTGCATCTTGTAATGTATTATCTAGACCGTCAATTTTCAAGATTTTCAAGTGTTCATAGATTTGCTTGATATACACTATTTTTACGCTAGAAAGTTTATAGTTAGAGATGAAAATAAATTTTCAATCTATCATAAAGATTTTTTGGTGCTGAAACGACATATTTTGACACTATTTAAAAGTGTGCCTTACTTTGATTGTTTTGTGCCTCACCCTAATCCAAACCACACCCAAAACTACAATAGGAAGGAAGATATGCCCAACATTTCATTTCTCAACAAGTCTCTGACAAACAAACTCCGGATACTTATCTACATGAACGTTAGAAAGCCTTGGAAAAATATTTATTTGTATATATATTACATTTAACAAAATCTTTTAGCAATGGATAAAACATTAAAAGGACTATACATAGGACTCCTCCCATAAAAATAGATGAGACCCATAACAATAAGTGCAGACCTCATGGCCACACGGGCCAACAAATATAACTCTATGTTCCTTGTTTCTCATATGCATGACTTCTATGACGTGAAGGAAGATAATCCAATAAGTTTTGTCATCGTAAAATACCAGGTTCCTTGCGTAGAAAGCCAAAAACTAGGTCACATGTCAATAGCCAAATTGTAAATTTGCTTTCACTTTCCACCAAATTTTTTTGTTTTGTTTTGGGAAATTCCACCGACTATAATAAGGTCTAATAAGAGTGTTTTAACTTTGCTTCTACTGAGGAAAACAAAAAAAAGTAGAACACTCCAATCTTTTATTTTCTCACCATCATGCAAATGACAGTCTTCAAAGGTTATAGGATATTTAGAAGCTTTTGTTAGAAGCTTTTGTTCTTGTATCGTGTGATAGAATTTAAATAATTTCCATATATTAAGGTGCAATGTGGGAGATGGCATTAGATTAAAGGGAAATTTATAAATAACCCCAAAAACGGATTTTCTATGCAATTTACTCCCAACTAATTTTTTTTTCTCTTTTTACCCAAAATTTAACTTTCCTAGCAAAACCCCCCCAAGTCATAAAAAAAGGTAAAATGAATACCAAAATACCCTCTAGAAAACATGCGGTCCAGCACAAAATGGGCGCGGTCCGACACTTTGGGCATGCAGTCCGACACAAAATAGGGGTGGTCTGGCACTTTGGGCATGCGGTCCGGTACTTTGCTTTTGGAAAGCATGCGATCCGGCACAAAAATGGAGGCGGTCTGACACTTTGCTTCTGGAAAGCATGCAGTCCGGTACTTTGGGCTTCTGGAAAGCATGTTGTCCGACACAAAATAAGGGGGATCTGGCACTTTGGGCATGCAGTCCGACACAAAATAGGGGCAGTCGGTACTATGGGCATTTTCGTTAAAAAAATATGACTTTTTAAACTTGGGGGTATTTACTAGAAAAGTTAAATTTGAGGTAAAAAACGGGAAAAAAAGTTTGGTTGGGTGTAAGGTGCAAATTTTGATGGGCAATAAATCGTATACAAAGTGTTTTTCTTTTTTTGTTTGATAGAAATTCTACTATTATATTAAACACAATAGTCTCTATAAGGAGGGAACCCTTTTGGTAAGGAAATGTTGCAGGAACCCACCATAGAATCTTCAGGCTGAGGAAGAGGTGTTTCATACACCCCTTTCTCGTGAGGGTGAAGCTAAGAGCAATAGTAAGGGTCCCACTAGAGGCCCAAGGTTTTCGGAACGTTTACAGACCCGTGGTCGGATGCCCCTGAATGCAGTAGCGAGAGGCATCATCATTGCCGATGAGTAGGTCGTTGAGGTCAGTTTGGACTCCTCGGTCGATGAAGGGTTGCTAGGTGATAGTCTTGAAGAAGCAATGCTCCTAGAAGATGCCTACTTTGGTTCATTCAAGGATGCCTACTTTGAATGTATGACGTTTGGACGACCTCAAAAGAAAAAAAGACATCCTTTTTTTGGTGTCTAAGTTTAGATCGTCAATTTTAATTCTCCAGGAAACTAAACTCGATGGCCCCAGTTTGTCTGGTGTCCGGGAAGTTTGGGGACCAGGTGCTGTTGATTTTGTGGGAGTG